TTTTTTCTGTCAGGTTATAAAGAGTTTTAGAAGTGCCTACCGGTGCCCATCACATGAGAAGTGCCTGTAAAGATTGGTTTCTTTTTGTTCTATCCATTTTGCACTGAAATGAAGATGGTTCTTGGATATGGGGACTTAGAAATTAGTCAATGGATGAATGAGAGAAGGGGTAGGCCAGTTCTATCGCGATGAAAAGTGTTTCTGGTAGAGCAACACGGAATCCATGCTCTGCGCATAGCCAGTCTTCCTCAGTGTCTCTCCCGTTCTCTGCTGGAGATGCCATGCCGTACTTAGAGGTCTTATTCTGGGCATCTCTCCTCATTAACTGACCATTTCATTCTCTATTTCTGCACTTGGCACATTTCTCCTGGACTTGTAAATGTCTGACACACTTGTTGCTTCTGTACGGCTGGCAGGTGGGGACAGGGCCTGGTCCATGCAGATGCGTTCAGGACATGTTTAATGCGGAGGATTGTGGGTCACTCCTGAGGCTTGGTCTCCAATCAGTAACTTTGCCCAAAATGTAGGGTTTGCCACTAGTGAACTGTGAAAACTTAGCCAAGTTAAATAATCTTGCCCAGTTTTGTTATCTGTAAAATGGGAACAATAGTTGTGTGTCCATCTCAAGTTTGGGGAGCAAATGGATTTAATACACGTGAAATATGTAGAACCAAGCCTGGTCTTGTAGCAAACGCTCCGGCTTTAGAGTTGGAGTCACGGTTCCAGCACTTAGTGGCGCATGGCCTGGTTGGTTAACAGCTTGAGATCATGTGCAATAATGAGATGGATCATGGAAATCGCTGTTATGTTCTCAGGGAGTGTTGTGTCTGTTATTTATGGTGCTTTAGACTTAACAAAGAAGTTAAGTAAACAGATTCCTTGGCCCCTCATAATACTTCTGGGAGTTGGGACAGATCATTTCTTACCAGCTTAAGGGTATTGAGAATGATATAGGGATGGGGCAGTTTGCCTGCGTTCCCATGTGACTTGGCAGCGGAGCCATGGGCAGCAAACACATTTCCTAGCTCCTCCTTCTGTTCTCTCCAGGCAGTCACCCCCATGGCTAGCGGTTCCTGAGGCTTGATGGGGAAGAGGCAGGTTAAGAAATGGCGGATGCACCGAGTATCAGCTGCAGTGTGAATGTTTCCCAGTGGTGAATCCTGGAATTGCTGTGCTGCTGGGGTGTCATTTAAACAAGGCCTCATCTACACATGTCTGTAATGGAAGATGGTAAGTTAGGAAGGGTTTTCTCATTCCGGTGTGGGCTACAGTGTCATCCCCAAAGCCTCATTACTAGGCAACGTGTTATGCTTTTTTGAGTCATGCAGGCATCGCCAGAGAGGTTGAGAAAAGGACAGGAATTGGGGTGGGTGGGTAGATGGAAGCTGTAGGCAGTTGTTCTGCAGGTTTGAAAGAAAGGAAATGATGGTCTCCCACTGCAGGGTAAGTGAAAAAGGCGTCAGGATTTTCTGCCCTCCCGCCATTAGGATTGAGGATGGATCCCTGCGGTCCCGAACACATGCCTGATGGCGGGCACCTGAGTAGGGTGTGGGCATGCATAAGTGGGTACACCTGGGCTGAGATGGGCTTGTAAGGGCAGCGTCATGGGGACGCCAGAAGAACCACGAGAGAAGCAGAGAGAACGCGAGAGAAGGCTGGATAGTCCAGAAAGAGTGAAGACTTGCCGGGGGCCCAGAGGCCTACCAGCCTCCTGGCCTCCCAGCACCCCTGCCTGCCATGTACCTGGTAAATCCCAATAAAAGTCTGAAAAGCCACTGAGGGCTCCAGGACTCCTCCTTCACCCATCTGCTGGGATTATAGAGAACCTGCTCAGTGGCCTTCCTGCCACTACACCCACATTTTGAGGGATTGAGTGGGTTTGATTGTCTATTACATGGGCCTTGGAATGTTCAAAGAAACGCGTTGGAGAAAGTTGACTTATTTCATCTGGTCTCTGAGCTAACAGAATTTTAGCTTCATTTTTGCTCTACTACCGACAACTGTTCTGTTTCATGCAGGCCGGAGGCCTGATATGTGTAGATATAATTGAGCTCAATACAAGATCAAGGAGAGGTTTGAAGAAGTTTACATTGGGGAGAAAAGCCAGATTTTAAGGAGTGGAGAGGCAAATGGGTTCCCAATGCCCATTCACCTGGGCCGCCCCACTGCATCACATGGCTTATGTCTTAGTTTTTTCCGACTCCTCTCCTTGCTTTGGACAAGGAAGCATGATGTCTGCCACTCTGTATTCTTCCTCTCCTCCCCCAATATGGATTTGCATCATTGAGTTGAAGCCGTTAATCTTGTGTGATTGATCTTAGGTGTGCCTCAAGAGGCACCGGAAACAAGCAAATCCCTTGACGTTTGGCAAGGCGCAAGCAGAGCATCATCCCTCAGAGCCAAGCCTGTCTTCCAAAGCGTGAGTACTATTTAGCCTGGGTTCTTATAAAAGCATATAAATAGGTATTTTTTATCATGCTTCACCAAGAGCTGGGAACTCTGCCTGTGGGCCAAATCCTATCTGTACCTGCTGCTTTTATAAATTAAGTTTTATTGGCACAAAAAAGTGTCAGCTGACTATCCCATTAGGATGATTTTATGAATCTCAGGAAGCGTTGGCTCCTGTTTCCCTGAAAGTCAACCCATCCCCTCCAGGGTCACCTGACGACTCATACCCAGCAGCAGGCATTGCAAGGTCGGGCAGGGCATGGCAGGGTTTGGAGTGTAGAACTTGACAAACTGTGGAAAATGTGTAAAGTCAGCTTTCAAGTAGCTTTAGTGTCAGCTGGAAAAGAGACTGGCTTCCAGGGGCCACCACTAAGAATATCAGCTGCCCCAGGACTGCGGGGGATCACAGACGTAAACTAGCTAGTACCTGGCACAGAACAGGTCACGGCTGAGACATGGCTATTGCTGGCTGGGGCCTGGTCTCTAGGGCTTTCTCCTCCTGCTCCTGTCTAGGCGTCCTGGACGATTGCCCCGCTGCAGTCTTCATTCAGTGTGGAGAGAATGTCTGCCCTCAGCTCTTGGCCTCGAGGTCTTTGGCAGATTCCCCCCATTTTCTGGCTCTCAGACCTTGCTTCCATGCGGTGGGGGTGCTGGACCAGTGTAGACTGTGGAGGGACTGTGACCTCTTTAGAATAGTGACCAAGATTGTTTCTCCCCATGTCCTGGGGAGCATGCCTGGCTCCCAGATGTGACATTGTCCACTGAGGCTCTCTGATACTGCTAAAGACTTAGTATTTTTTATTCAGTGTCCCAAAAGGGATAAGCATGTTCCCAATGGTTCACAGAATGATTGCAGTTGGTGCAGGGATACATGTTTGCCAGGTTAATGGTTATATGTGGAGGTTAGAAAAAAAGTAATTAGTACATTAAAGCTGACATTTTGAAACTATTTCTTTGGAGGCTGTCTTGCTTTTGAAAAAAGGTAAGTGTTGAGTGATAGCATAGAGATGGGTTGATGCACAACTGTGCGAAACTGATCTGTCTCAATCCCTCCTAGGACAGACAGAGGAGCCTAGTCCTAGTGGGGCAGAGAGAAGGCCATCGAGGACCCCCGGGGGTCCTGCTATCCACCCCATCACACATTTCTCTTTGCATTGGGGAAGTTTCTGACATGCTCTCAGGTCTCCTCAGGAGTATTGTCCCAGCCAGAAGCCTCCCCAGCAAGCTCGCGCCTGGGCCACGGAGTGTGTGACGCCCGGGAGAGGCTCTCGAGGTGAGGACTATGAGAAGCAGCAGTAGGTCGTGTCTTCATGGCATGCTGCCTCTATTTTGAGATGTGCTTTTTCATACCTCAGTGTTTCTGCATCTTACAAAATCGTGTTGACTTAACTAGTTATTTCCTTGCCAAGATACTGTTGTTAAATGGGCAGTAGCTTAGAATTAAAGAAAGTTTCTTTCACTATTTTCCTCTCCCCCAAAACAAATTACACTTGAAAGTTGGGGCTTCTAATACCTATACAAATGGAAAGAAAGAATTCTTTAAATAATTTAAAATCCTTTAAAAGAAAAACTTCCCTTTCAAGCCATTTGTCATTCACTAGATGGAAATTGGGGGAAATGAGTCACCAATACAGGTATAGAGACACCCAGCCCAGATACTGATCCGGCTGCCTCCTACCCCTTCCCTAAGCCTCCCTATCAAATTCATAAGTCTTTTTAATTCATTTAGTCACCTTCCCAGAGGCTTATCAGATAGAACCTTCCGGAAGTTTTAAACTTGCATCCTCAACTTGGGGGGAAGGGTGAACCAGCCACCACAGTTTCAAGGAGAATTGGTTCCAATTTTTGTAGGAAGAGAGCCCTCTGGTTTGTTTTTCTGGTGAGCTTGAGGTGGCTTAGAAGGGCTTGATCAGATTTTACAAATCAGTTTTTATTGGCCAGTTTTGCTTTAGCTACAGTGGAGATTGAGGGGTTGTTACTTTTGGTTACCAAACCCAGGGGGAGTGGAGGGGCTGCTCAGGAGACATACCCAAAAAAGAACAGAGCAGCCTTTCTTAGGGAGTCAGGGGCGGTTCCTTGAGAATGGCAGCTAATAAACAACCAAGGCTCTGGTCTTTAGAAGTGACTGGAACAATGGAGCTGGAAAAGGCTAAAGAGAAAAAGCCAACAAACACATAAGTTGAGGGTTATATGGAGTCACTTGAGAAGACAAAAAAGGAGTACCAAGCAGCGGATGGAAGCTGGCCCCACACACCCTTGCCAAGCTAACTCAGAGAGCCACTGTGTGGAAAGCCTTCTCTTTATGTCCCCGGAACATTCGCACTGTTGCGTCGCCAAATTCTTAGGCTGTTTCTATGGCGCTTATATAATAGAACACACCCGTGCTGGCATGCTCTTTCCCTTCTGATTCTGTGTCCCCTCGGCAGCCTCGTGACATAAATCTCTGGCTCCAATGAAATGGTTAAAAGGAAAATGGAAGAAAGGTGTCCTGGAGGGGCAGGCGGTGCTGACTAGTTCTGATTTCTCACAAAACGAAGAATTTCTGTAAGAGTAGAGTAAACGGTGTTTATTTTTTGTTGTTTTTTTTCCCCCAATCAAATGGAATTGCTCAATTAAAAAAAAAACTTAATCTCTTTTCTCTTTAAATACTACAGACAATCTCATTTTATCTCAGCAGACACCTAGAAACAAAACACTGGACCCACCAGAGAAAACTGGGCAACAAAAGCATCAGAAATTCAAGTCAACTATGGAAGAAGAACCGTCAGCTGGCAGCTCTCAACTCTAAACAGACGTGTCCCAGAACTTATTGGGCTGGACAAAAGTTTCTTAGAGAACCGGGGATTTGGGAAAGTGACACTCCTTTCAATTTGATTCCGATCGTTTTCTGCATAGGGAAAGTAAAGTCAATGCATCAAATGAAGACCCAAAGAAACATTTAAAACCAGGTGTGACTAGTATTCAGTATGTGAGATTAATAAGTAATAACTTGCCCTCCTAGTTAACCTTGTCCTGGAATATATATAGGTTATTTGTAGCCGCCACTGCTATAATATTTTCTGAAGGATGCCAAGCTGTATGCAAGATCTTTTTGCTAAAGTCCAGACTGTCGACGCTGATCTCATCTTTTCTCCGCTTGCCCCCCACGCACACTTTCCGTGGTTTGAGGATAGCCCGGGGTTTGCTGTTCTCCCTCGAGGCTTCCAAGGTAACATCGCGCTTGGTGTTTCGGTCAAACATCCTGAAGAAGTTGTTGTAGGAGCCCGTCATGATGACACTGCATTAGAGAGGAGAGAGGGAGCGACTGAGTGCCATGGAGCGAGGCGGTAGCAAATTGCGTGTCTCCGGAGCGCATGCCAGCACGCGATGGCCAGCTTGTGGCACCGTGTGTTGGATTAAGAACAAGCAAAGCAAAACCGAACAGGCTCTGGAGTGGGACTGATTTCCGTTTGAATCAGAGCAATGCGCTCTCTGAGCTTGGAAATGAAGGCCTGCGATAACCCTCTTTACTTCTCTTTGAGGATTCCTTGGGGCTTTTTGGCTCAGTGAGTGAGAGGCTTTAATACCCCCAGGCCTGCCTACTGCTCCTCGGGAGTGAGAGCCATCCTTTGTAAGTTGAAAGCACGGCTGCCCTGGGTGGGGGGGTATTTCTTATTATCCCACCTCTTCTTACGGTTCTAAATGCAGCCCTTTCAGAAGGCTCATCTGAAAAATGAATGTTGTCATGGTCACACAGGGTCACATATCATGGTCACCCTGGAGTGCCTGGTGGGACAGGACATCTGGAAGAAGGCGTGAACGAGCTCAAGTCCCGAAAGGACTTGGGATGGGAAATACAACTCGGTAGTGGACTAATGACTGGTTTTTGTGTTTTACCAGGCCTGTCCCTTCCCAGCTACAACTGATCAGTGCAGTGAATGCTGACTGTCTCCAGGAGCAAGGGACAGGATCTAGGATGGTGACAATTTGGACATGATATTCCTTGGGGACCCACCCCCTGAGAGGCGGGCTCTCCTGGTTTCCGGGAGAAGCTCTGAGTAGCTGGTTAGGATGGAAGAGCACAGCACAGCTCCATTTTCACAGGACTCAGGTAACTGACAAGATGGGGTCACAGCAGGGGGCAGAGTTTGGGGTATACCATCAGCTGTGCAGGCCCATTAATCAAGGGTTAGATTTTGTTATTTTGCTCTAAGGAACTGGTCTGTGCAATACGTTTGTCTCTACAGCAGAGTGAGCTGTTATTACTCTGTCGAGCCTGGTGCTGTGTGCTTTGCCTGTGATCTCATCTCAATCCCTTCCCCATCACAAGGAGTGTACAGAGAAGAGGGGAGGGGCCCTCACTGTCACCCTGTTAGGAAGAGGGGTTTGGCCTCCAAGCCACACCCACCCAACTCCAGGGCATAAGTATGCAGCCGCTTGGCCTCTGCTCCCCATACACTGACATTGGCGCCCCCACCGTGGCCCAACTGGTTTCTAAACAAGAGCAAGTTTTTATTTTGCAAAATGCTTCAACCTTGTCTGACCCCAAGATACAAGTTTCCAATGGTTCGGCCATGGAAAGCATGTTTTTCTTAGTGTGCAAACTCAGAACTTCTGCTCGCCTGTCCTACTTCACTAGCTGGTTTAGGAGCTGGGGCAGGTTCCTGTACCTTGAGGGCCCCAGTGTTGTTAAGTACGAGGTGGGGATGACGAAAACGACCTTTGAGACTGTGGTCAGAGCTACATAAAGTGATGGGTGTGACGATCCCTAATAAGAGTGGTTTTGATTTTAGGTTAAGATAGCAGGGAAAATGGGAGAAATGGGGACTAGGCTAAGCCTCTCTCCTTTGCCCCTGGGACTTTTGTTAATGTGTCACTATTGCTTTGCACACTCTTCCCTCTGTCTTGTGCCAGCTGGACTCAGTGGCCTGGATCCCCTGGCCTGTGGCGGCGACTCCTAGGCTGGCTAAGTGGAAGACTCATTTGGGTTCACTGGCCAAGAAAGCCACGCAAGGGCCAGCGAGAGCTCCTGTAGTTAGCGTTCCAGGCCCTGGCGTGCCTGGTGGGACAGGACATCTGCACTGCCCAGCGCTGCTCTTGGCCCACCTTCGTCAAGGAACAAAATCAACCCTGGTTGCCTGCACTTCATTTTCCTGGAAGTAGAGAACCATCTGTATTTGTCAAACTATAAAGGAACTATTGGGAGGTAATATGAAGTATGGTTGAAATCAAAGGCCTTAAAACAGTAATAAATCACTGTGAGGGACTGTGACAAATGAGGCTGACTAGAATTCAGCTAATGAACCACCAGGGCCTTTGGCCAGGTCTGCACTAGCAGCTTCAAGGGATGATTTTTGATCTAGAAAGTGCATGTTGTAGTAATTCAAATGCTTTATGCTGGAAATTGTGGGCAGGCTGTGATCTTCTTTCCAGGCACACTGACTTGCCATGGGGTGGGGGAGTGTCTTGTGTGTCAGATGGGATTTTCTTGTTGATATTAAATGGCCACCTGTGCCAGTCCTGAAGAGGATTCAACTATGTCTCTTCTTTCCAGGCCTGACCTCGGGAGTCATCCAGTGACAAGCCAGTGCATCCCTGCCAGGCCTCAGGGTCCCGTTTTGACCTCAACCTGGCTGCACCCCATCCAAGCACCGGGGATCTCAGGAGAGCACCTGCGTTGGGAAGGTTCCCGGCCAAACAGCCTTTCTTACCTGTCTGACCCGTTCCACACACACTCAAATTTATCAAAAATGCAGTCATTTTCATAGAGGGAGCACAACTTGCTGCGGAGGTAGTCGTGGACCTGGGGAGAAAACACATGGAGGGGGTGAGTTATTAAAAAAGATGCTAATTTCTGTGACCACCTCCTCTTTGGATGTGAGCCATTAATTCCTTCCATGCTAATGGCCTTGAATCAGAGGGCCCTGGGTCTGACTCCAGGTCCCTGAGTTGTGAGACAAGGTTGGCTGACGGGATGCCTGTGTGACTAGTTTGCTTTGCTAGAAGGTAGCACAGTGCAGGGACATTAAGTGGCAGTGTCCCATTTTCTAAGCTGACATGTGGCAGGCGTCAGAAGGCACCATTCACCTGGTCATTTTTTCAACACATAACTGGATGCTTGCTACATGCTTGGGTTATAGCAGTGAAGAAAATGCCCATGATGCACTTTGATCTCAGGCTGAGGCAGGCAGCCAGTTTACACAGGCCCTTGATTCTGACCATGGTGAAGAGACATCACAGAAAGGATCACGGAGCTTGCTGTGCTGTGGCAGAACCTAAGAGTTCAAGGACGAAGGCAGGGAGACTAGTTGTCCCAGGGTGACAGATGATGGCTCAGAACCCCGGGGAAAGAGTCTTGACATGCTTGCAGGGAGAATGGATGGGATGGAAAGAACAGGAGTCAAAGATGGCTCCTGGCTCTTCTCTCAAGAGGGAGGATGGAGTTGCACTCTCGATCTTGGGTTGATGACGTGGAGATGTCTGTGCAACCAGAGGTGGCCGAGTAGACTCTGGGTGGGGGGGCACCCTGGAGTGTGCGGTGATCCTGTTCAGTTGTTCAGTGAAATACGAAGCCCGGTTATCAGCCTGGAAGATTACCAGCTGACAAGCGGTGGGGATGTTTGGGCAGCAGCGCAGGATTGCTGGATGGCACAGAGGGCCATTCACAGTGGTTGGGTGTGAATTATAAATGAGGCTGGTTAGCATGGTTGGGTGCTTTTCTCTAACTTGTTCAGCAACTCAGGTGTAGATGAGTCAGGTAGATAGGTAGATAATAGGTAGATACATAAGGCTCACAGGGTAGTAACTGGTTCAGTTTTTCTCTCAGCGTCTTTCCTATACCCACTCGTAGGGAGTGATAACAGACAGCCTGTAAGCTTGTTATTACCAGTCAGGGGCTTCACCCAGAAAATCCCATTTCATCTCTAAAGTCATCTTATGATGTCAGCGCTAGCATTCTTCCCTTAAAGGAGCATGAAGTACAGGGATATTACGTCGCTTGTCTAAGTTCACATGGGAAAATGGGCACTGAGCCCCAGGATCTAGGTTTGGAGATGTACTCTGACACCTCAGTGATCTGCCTTATTAGCCTTGCCTACCCTGGGGTCTCAGTCCCACGAGGAGCTGTGATCATCATGGACAGAGGGCCAAGAGAGCTAGAGGAGGGGTGAGGGCAGAGGGAAATTCACAGCACTGCTTCCGTCTGTTTAGACTACGAGTGATGGTTCAGTCTGTCTCCTGCAGTCTGGCTCCTCCTTCTCTACCTTGACGCAGGGTCCTGCTGGACGCTGAGCTCAGAGGCTCACCTGTGTGCGTAGTTCTAGGTCAAGGAGCGAGGTGAGATTCACCCCATGTTCCGATAGATGTCTTGGGTACCTGAAAGGCCTCCGTGTTATTTGGAGACTAAGTATTTCTAGCTCTGAAAATGAGTTCCTGCTGCTTTACTTGTCTTGTTCCCCAAGTTCATGTCAGAGGACCTGCCTTGGTGCTGTGGACAAGGGAATCTGTGGGTGGCAGGACTTTGGGCATTTTTAGATGGGCAGGGCTCAAAGAGGTAGGGCTTGCATCCTGTGCTGGGTGTCACTGCTGCAAATGAACTCACCGGCCTGGCCTTCCCTTCCTCTCCTGCCACCTTTTGGTTATACTGGGAGTGGCTCAGTTCTGTTCTAGAAGGCCATTTCTGTTTGTAGGGGTGATGACCTCTAGTGCTCATTAAGAACCTTAGAAGAGCATCCAAGACGTAAAAGGCAGCGATTCTGAGTTGACCAGGGGTTGGCAAACTCTTTCTGTACAGGGCCAGATAGTAAGTGTGTACTCTCTGCGTGCCTGTGGTGACTGTTGCAATGATTTGACTCTGCCATAGGCAACACACAAACAAATGAGGGGTATGCTCCAATAAAACTTTATTTACCAAAGCAGGTGGTAGACCTGTCTAGGATTTGGCCTCTGGGTCCATAGGTCACTTGCTTTTAAAAATTTCTCTTCCCCTAAGCACCTCACATGATTTCCTTGAAGGAAAATAATGGCTATATTACGGGTGTCAATGGTGGTGGAACTTTTCTTCTGAAGGATAGATGACCTGACCTCAGGTATCTGTCTCTTTCTAGAAAGCAAGCCTAGCTTTTGCCTTTATTGACTTGCTTCTGGGCTCTGTGTGGTGGGGAGAAAAAAGGGGGTTCTGGAGGGCAAGGATGCCCAGCTGGGAATCCACCTGGGGGGCAATGGAAGCCAGACTCGTGATCCTACTTGTCCATTCTCCTACATCTTGCAGGGAAAAGAAGAATAAAATAGATCCTTATTTTCAGCCTCATCTCCCCCTTCCCCTTCCTCTTGTTAAGGTGTGTGTCCAAGACCAGGCACAGCTCTGAATGTGCTGAGAGGAGAGAAATAGATTTTGAAAACACTTGGCTCAGCATGTTTCTATAAGGCCGGACTTTCCAGCATCTAACAATGGGGGAGGGGAAGAGGTATTAATTTATTTAACAGGGTCAATATTTTTTTTGTAGGGGTATACCAAATATTGTCTTGAAAATAAGTGAGGATTATAACAAACAGGGCAGTGGGGCGCCTCTTGGCTTGGCTCAGTCTGTATTCTCCATTGTGAACCTTTTCTGACCCCTTCTCATTCACCTTTGGCATTTTGTCTTACTCTTCACCTTATTAATATTCAATAATATTTGGTGAGGATCAACACTGTGTGCTTTGGAAGCGTAGGGCATTAGCAGGAACACACTGTCAGGGGAGGTTCAAGGGGAAACCTAGTCTCAACCACTATTTTTCCTCCCCAGCCTCTGAGTTCCAGGAGGCTCCTGCCTGATTCCACTGGAAGGCATCTGAAGGAAAGACTGTCTCCTCTCGAGGTATGTTGCATTTGAGTTCTGTTGCTCAAAACAAAACAAAAACAGCACAACACACACTTGGGCAAAGGAGACAGACCTTTCTCAATTAGAGGAGCGTATGAGGTAAGTCACATGCACGAGAACCATCTAGAGTGCAGGGAGGGCCTCAGGATTTAGCCAGCTTGATGCTTCTTTCCTCACGCACCAGTCGCCTCTGGCCCTGACTGTCCCCAGTCTCCCAGCAGTGTTCTCACATCATGGGCTTCAGACGCCTGGGGGTGTGTCCCTAGCAACTGCTCGTGAGGCCTGAGGAGACCCCACTGGCCTGCTTTCATATTTCTGGGGTTGATAACCTGGTTTCTGCCAGAACCAATCAACAGTATAGCATAAAATCAGCCACAAATAATTGGGTGTGGCCGTATTTCAATAAAACGTTTATCTCCAAAAACACAGGGGGCTGGCTTGGACCTAAAAGTTAGTTTGGTAACCCCTGTTCCATAGAAAAGCTTGAAATTAGTGAATCAAAAAAAAAGTGTACAGTTTTCTGTTCATGGAAATATGCTTGAGATCAGCTGCTGCATCTATGAAAATAGGTGATGGGGGCATTGGCCGTCCCCTTGTCCAGGCTTGAGAAACTGACTTAGAACTGGACTCACCGTCTTTTTCTACAATGTTCTAGACACTCCTGAGTCCAGAATTTACTTACCATCCTTGATATAGAAATTTAAATTACTTTAAAAAAAGTTCAAAAAATCGTGTATATTTCAGTGCAAGTACTGTGATGCCAGCTTCTCAAAGGACCCCTAGGTTACCCCTAACTAAGCCTGTTCCTCAATTACTGATTTCATCTCATATTCCTAAAAGCTAGCCATGTTCCCAAAGTAGCTTTGTTTTAATTTAGGAGCCTTTCCCTGAAAGGAAAGGACTAATTAGTGTCACCATGGTGTAGCCTGAATGTACCTCCTCTAATCCAGGCTCTCCCGCAGGCCATGCCTCTGTCAGTACGGCCCACCCCCAGCTTCTGCCGGCACAGCCTCACTTCTGCATGAAGGGCTGTGACACTGGATGGTGTGTCTGAGCTCTGGAAGAGGACACCAGTGTAGACCCAGCCCTGGGCTGAGAACGAAGGGCTGTGAGAGGTAGGGGGCAGGTGGCGTGGGCAATGAGACCCCAAATATCAGGGACCCTCGTGGAACCACAGGGGTGACCAAAACTATCTCAGCTATTTAAGAAGTCTAGAATCCTGGCCCCTAAGCTATTTTACATGCCCTGCGGGACTCAGTGCCTCTGACCTTCTCTGAACTTTCCTTCTTCCTCTGAAATGCTGCTCTCCCTGAAGGCACTGCTCCTGAGGCCACTCAGGGTGGCTTGGATTCTCCTTCATGAGCCTTTTCTGATGAGGCTTTTCAGTCACCTTTGGGATCTTATTACTTGCCCAGGGTGTTTGGTGACCATCCAAGCAATGTGCTGTGGGTGTGTGGGCAGCAGCAGGAGCCACACTGGACTTTCATGCTCGGGTGCTGAGATGGGGGCAGGTGGGCTTCGCGTTGCTTCTGGTGATGCCACCAAACCTTCCCCTTTGTGTGGTCAGAAAGTTCTCTGACGCCCTCTGCCTCGTTCCTCAAAGCAACTCTAAGAACACCTCACCCTCTCTACTGCCATTATTCTGAGTGACTGAAATACGCTGGTCTCTGTTACTTGACCTCATCACTTTCCTTTCATTCCCAGGTCATGTTATGCATCCATCATGGCTTAGTGGTAACTTCTTGGCACGTCTCCCTCCCGCCACCTGTCCTCTGAGCTCACGAGCATCCTGATTCTATCAGTTCATCAAGTCTACTGACCTGCCTACTTTGCTCTGTCCATTTCCCTTAGACCCAGCAGCCCATCGAGACAGCCGCTCCCCAAATAATGCTTTCTCTCTCCTTTCACTGTACTCACTTGGCAAAGCCTCATCTTGGTAAAACTCTGCTCTTCCTCTCCTGGACCATGCAGTGAGCGTGGCTGGGGAGAAACACACCTTCACACCTCAAACAGAGCCCCTGGACAACCTACAGTGTTTCCTCATCAATCTCTCTCCTACATGATATTTACACTTTTTCTTCCTTCTCACTCAGCTGGTGACCTTGTTTCTTTTTTACTGAGTAAACAGAAGCAATAAGGAAAAACCACCTATATGTTGCCATCACACAGTTTATAAGCTGTGTCTGTCACTAGTCACTCTTCTTTCTTGGATCAATTGTCCACCTAAGACCAGTTCTGCAGTGGACACCATCCCCTCTTGCTCCCCCTGAGGACACTGCTGCTCCCATGGTCGCACTCTCTACAGGCCTCCTCCTGTCAGCATGAAACACATTGTGACAACAGCCTTAAGGCTGTATCCTGTTTCTCAGTTCTCCTTCAGAACAACATTGAAATAAATGTTCCTCTTCCTCCACATTCACATTCACTCAGCAAGAGAACCTTCTAGAGTCCAAGAGAACCTTCTAGAGTCAATCTGTATGCCAATCAGCATTGCTACTATCTCCTCCATCTAAATTTCTTAAACTGTTTGGCAAACTGCAACAGGAAATACATGGTAACAACAAACTCATAACGTCATTTCCTATGTCAAACTTTTTATTTATTTATAAAAGATTTATTTATGCATACAAGAACTGGTGTACAGGGCCTCCCCAGTGGTGTAGCGGTTGAGCGCTGGGCTGCGAAGTTGCCCACAGCCGCTGCAGGGCCAGTTCGATCCCCGGCCACCGGCGAGGGTCCCACATGGCGTGACAGACCTCTCCTGTCTCGCCCGCTGCTCCCCTCAGCAGTGTGATTCGTCAGTCTGCCTGTTCTGTTACCTGCTCTGGTGAATTCTCTCACCCTCCCACACTTCTGACTGTACCCAGTGCTTGTATAAATAATCTTTAAAAAAAAACCAAAAAACTGGTGCACAGGCCAGAGGTGCGGGGGGTGAGAGGATTAACCAGAGACAGAGTGGGGAGCAGAATAGGTGTATCACTGAAATACACTGCTGAGGGAGCAACGGGCGAGACAGGAGAGGTCTGCTGCGCCATTTGGGTAGCTCCCTGGCCGGGGATCGAACTCATGCTTGCAGTGTCTGCGGATAGCTTCATAGTGCTGAGACTTAACCCCTTGCACCACCAGGGAGGCCCACCTGTGTCAAACCTTTTCCTGTCTCTCCACTGTACCCAAGGTAGAGACATAATGGCCTAATCTACTTTATCAAGGCCTGCAGCTCCAGGCCCATCTTTCTGCCCTCTCTTCCATAGTCAAGGTGTTTTGGGGACACGAATTTCTCTTAACAGCAGTCTTGTGAACCTGTTATTCTAAAAATACATTTTTTTTCCTGGCTAGTTCATGATTGTCAAAACTCAGGAAAGGGTCACATCTCCAGGAAAGCTTTTTCCCAGATTGGGCCTCCATGACCTGTTCTTCATGGCATCTCTATCTGATGGGTAGCTCCCAAGGGCAGGACCCTCTCTCTTGTTGACCTCTATAACCACGGCATCCACTCCACACTAAGTGCTCAGCAGATAGGGGTTAAGTTGAATTCTAGTCCCCCAAATGTATCCTTGACTTAAATCCTGTGGCACTAATTGCTTGTACCACTTTTATTATTTTGCATTCTAGGTCTTTGCAGCAGAAACTGACTTGGAAGCCCCCAGAGGAAGTGCTCACTAGTGCGATGGGGTGGGGATGTCTGTGTACCTGGTAAGTCTCGATGGGGCGATTTTCCATGTTGAGATCCCAGACTTTGACAGTCAGATAGTCCCTGGTCATGATATACCTCCCACTGTGGCTGAATTTCACATCCGAAATCGAAGAGATAATTTCAGAGAAAAACGACCTGTTGCTTGGGTCTTCTGGCTCTTCAAAAACTGCACAACAAAAACAGAAACAATATGAAGTTAGCACATCCTCATGGTTGGCCTCTAACACGTTTGGCCATCCGGGAGCGGGGTGGGTGCCTGCAGGATGTAAGTGGCTAGTGGAGAACTCTCAGCAGAAAAGCCGCCACTGGTTTCTGTTTTCTTTGTCTTGGAAGGACTTGCAGGGCACCTGTGTCTCTGCCACAGATCTGGCGGCGACCGTTTACAAAAAGCTTCAGGTCTAAGTAACTCTTTCACATTTCCCTTGTCCTCTGGGTGTTACTGCACATACTAAAACCTGGAGTCATCTTACATACTTTAGGAAATTTCTTTCACATTATTTTTTGAGATAGAATTTATTTGCAATAAAATTTACTCATTTAATTACAGTCATGCCTCCATCACAATCCAAATTTAGAACAGTTTCATGAACCTCCTCTGCCCCCCATGCTCCATATACATTAGCAATTACGCCCCACTCTCTGCCCTTGCAGCCCTAGGCAACCAACCACATTCTGATTCTATGGATTTGCCTCTTCTGGAAATTTCTCATGAATAGAATCAAGGAATGTGTGGTCTTTGGTGACTGGTTTCTTAGTGTAATGTTTTCAAGGTTCATGTTGCAACATGTCTTAGTGACGGAGGCTGAGAGTGGAAAATTCAGGTTGGAGGCGACACAAGACCAGAAACTGGAGGTTGGGACAGAAATGATTATGCTAGTTCTTAAACCAGCTGTGGATCCAACCGCTATGGCAAGTATCCGATGTTAGAGAAAGTATCCAGAGGTGCAGGCCAGAGGTGGGGATGTGGAGATGGAAGCCATTGCAGAGAATCACTATTCCTTTCAAATCTACTAGTCATGCCCTAGAAGTGTTTTATCCAAAAACAGTTAACAATTCCACGAAGGAATGAGCCCCTCCCAAGGAGAAGAACACAACTTCAGTGTAATTCCTGCCTTGGCCAAAGGCCGCTCTCCTGCCCGCCTGTGACCTGCATACGCAGGTGTTTCTTGTCACCAGCCTTTTCCCTTCAGGGGCAGCTCTTTCTGTCTACTTGTGTCCGCACAAGTTCCATTTATTTATTTATTTATTTATATTTATCTATTTACACATACATACATACATACATACATACATACATACATACATACATACATACCTACATACAAGCACTGGGTACAGTCAGAAGCTCAGGAGGGCGAGAGAATTCACCAGAGCCAGAGCGGGGAACAGAACAGGCAGACTGACAAAGTACCTTGCTGAGGGGAGCAGCGGGGGCGCGGCAGGAGAGGTCTGAGAGCCATGTGGGACACTCGGCTGGGGATCAAACCGGTGCTGCAGAGGCTGCGGGCAGCTTAGCAGCCCAGCACTCAACCGCTGTGCCACCAGGGAGGCCTCTTCCTTTTTTTTTTTTTAAAGGGGTGTTTTTGTTTTAAAGATTTATTTATTTATACATTCAAGAACTGGGGCACAGGCCAGAGTTTTGGGGGGTGAGAGGACTCACCAGAGACAGAGTAGGGAACAGAACAGGCAGATCAACTGAAATACACTGCTGAGGGGAGCAGCAGGCGAGCCAGGGAGAGGTCTGCTGTGCTATGTGGGTAGCTCCCTGGCCGGGGATTGAACTTGCACTGCAGTGGCTGCAGTGAGCTCCATAGGTTGCGTCTTAACCCCTTGAGCCACTAGGGAGGCCCCCCTCCTTTTTTTTTATTATTGTAAACCTGCCCTTTTGGATATAACTAAACATCTCTGTGTTGTAGGGAAACTCACCATGTGCCGCTGAAAGGGGAGTGCTACTGAGACTTTTCGCAGAGGTACCTCCAGGGTGCCACTCTAAACCCAACACCTCTCCCCACCAACGACAGAAACTACAGATAGTAACCCCATCTTGAACGGTTCCTTTCATCATCATTTGCTGACATCTCTTGTAAGAAACTAAAGTTTGCCAAGTTTATTTTTTAAAAGATTTATTTATTTATGCATACAAGAACTGGGGTACAGGCCAGAGTTGCTGGGGGTTAGAGGATTCACCAGAGACAGACTAAGGAGCAGAACAGGCGGAGTTACTGAAATACACTGCTGAGGGGAGCAGCAGGAGAGACAGAGAGGTCTGCTGCGCCATGTGGGTCACTTCCTTGACTGGGGGGTCAAACTTGGCTGCAGTGGCAGCAGATTGCTTCATAGTGCTGACACTTAACCCCTTGCACAACCAGGGAGGTCCCAAGTTTACCAGGCTTAACAATGAATTTTGCTAAATACCTAAAATGAGTTTATCTAAAATGACTGAGCCTCCAGGATTTGCTAGAAAAGTAAGCTAAGCTTTAATGTCAGTATAATTACATAAAACCAAACTTTAAATTTTCATGTACAAAAAGGACTAAGGCATTCTAAGGCTGTCATTTCTAACTTTTAACAACAAAGACCGTTGAGGTAATCTAAATATCCTGGTGCTCCTGGTTGGCTGAAAAATTCTAATCCAGTCAGCATGGCTGAACCTTGTCAAAACAAATAGTTTTGCTCTAAAGGTCCTTGTCACTTTGGGTTATCATGTGCTTTGTAAAAATGTGTCCACATGTGTGAAGTCTGTAACAGAACTTCTCTATTATCAAAATTCTTAAGTAGTATAATCTGTCTTAGAGGGACTCCTAAGACACCTGCAAATTGTTTCCCTTGTGGAAAACAACTTTGGGCCCATGTGGGTTTATCACAACTGTGTAGGCAACGTCATGTTAGCGAATGCCTGTCTCGGTTTCCCTTAGCCAATAAAAGGAAACAGCTTGAGGAGAAGGAAAATAGTTGAATTTGTCCACAAATTGAGGAGGGCTGCAGACTTGTGTCTGAAAGACCATTGTCCTGCTCTTTGGCCAAGGGCAGGGGCACTTATCCAGAGTTACAGGGGGTAGAAGGGGGAGTGGGCAAAGATCGACACGTCTATCCTTGTGGTGGAGATTTGGGGGAGATTCAGGTTGGCACCACCTTGCTTTGCCATCACCTGGTGGTCAGCAATTTCAATATTATCTTCTTAGGGATGTTCTTTTTCCCTCGGAATATAAGAAAACAAGGTTGTTAAACCTAGAGGGTAAATAAAGAAGGAAAGAAGGCTTACCCCGTGGGGTGGGGCATGCCCTTTCATCACTGAATCGGTCATGGTAAGGGTGTTCCAAGGCATATGAAACTCTTTAAATCCTGGTATAATATTATTGGACAATTCCGACTATTGTAAAATGTTACAAAATAAAACATTCTTGCCTATTAATTTATACTCAGATTTTAAATAGGCTTACTTTGAGGTCTTTTACTACTTGTAGAGGTTACTTACTACTAAACTGATGAGGAAAATTTACAAAAAGAAACTAACAGTATGCTGAAAATACAGGTTTGTCATGGAACTGAAAGACCATAGAGCTTAATGAAAAAACTGGACTCCTGCAAACTGCTCACAGCAGGTGGAGACTCACTACCTGGGTTTTGAATACCCCAGAAGGGCTCATGGGATGTTTTAATATCAGCTGTAATATTTTGCCTTTTCTTCCAGAAAGCTGCTCTTTGTACTGTGTCTGATCTGCAGCAAATCAAATCCTATCTTTTCATGAGTAAACTGCAACATTTGCTTTTTTCTCTCCAAAATATAAAACGTGTATTAAATAATGGTATTCCCTGGAAATTCCCATGAATCTGACAAGACTCTTCTCTTCCCTCTATAATAAAGTGGCCGAAAGATTGGGAACCAGGAACCAGAGTGCTCTCAGGAGTCCTCAGATTTCAGCATCTGCGAAGAGAGCCTGATGCCTTGTTTACAGGGTCTAGGTCCAGCAGGAAGAATATTGAATGTCACCCCCTTGAGGGACCCCGAGACTCCAGCACATTTTGGGACCTCAAGGAGAAGAACCCACTCAAAGATGCAGGTATTTACAGGCATGTCTGAGACCTTGGCAGGTTTTCCCTGTCCTGAGAGGCAAAAACCATCAAAAGGCCCGAGGTGAGACTCCCTGTGTAGGTTCCAGTGAAGCCAGTCTTAAAAGCAGATCGTCATAATTTTGTTCTTGTGCTAGTGCAAAAGAACTGGCCATGTTTACTACAACTCAGCATGTCAGTTGGATTTTTCCGTAACCATTTGTTAAACAAAAGTGAGGGTGGAGAAAAATTATGTGTCAGTGACTTTTAATAACAATTTCTGGTCCTCTTCCATCTGCAAATAGGATTAGCACATTGAAGATCTAATTATTTTGCATAAATTTGCTTCCAACAGAGGACAGCATCCCACAGACTCCCCTTAGCATAACTACTCTCCTGGTACTTCTGAAAACTTCAAAGTATCCTTGTCATCGCTAAGTCTGGGAAGGATCTGATACTGACATTACCAATACCCACTCTGCCCCCCCTCAAAGCTGAAAGGAATAAAACCTTGGATTCATCATAGTCAGATAAAACCTTAACATTTAAGACAGTAGACTGTAATCCCTAATTCTAACTTAACTTTAAAGCTCACCCAACTTTCCCAACCAGAGATCCTGACTATACTGACAGTAATCTCACTCATGACACTTTTATTTATCTGGTATATATATTTTATATCATTTTTCATTTTTGTACAGTATATGCATTTTCATCTTGGTTATAGTCCCCGTGAAATTCCCACCACCCATTCACCCGCGAACTATCACCGTGGTCCCTTGTGCTCTTCCCACCCTTGTTTTGATCCTACTCCCTTCTCCCCTGCTGCAGTATGTTTCTGGTTTATAGTTGCCTTTTGATTTTGATTTTTACTTATTATAGTTTTTTCTCCTGATCCCTTATTTGGATCCTCTACAATCCTGCTATGAGTGAGACCATCCGGTATTTTTCTTTTTCTTTCTGGCTTATTTCGCTGAGCATGATCCCTTCCAGCGCCATCCATGTTGCTGCAAATGGCATGAGTTTATCTTTTTTGATTGCTGAGTAATATTCCACTGTGTATATATACCACATCTTCCTGATCCAGTCATATATTTATATGAAAAAATGTTCAACATCACTTGTAATCAGGGAAATGCAAATCAAAACCACAGTGAGATACCATCTTACACCAGTGAGAATGGCACATATTCAAAAAACTGGCAACAACAAATGTTGGTGAGGAATTGGAGAAAAAGGAACTTTAGTACACTGCTAGTGGGAGTGCAAACTGGTGCAACCCCTATGGAAAGCTGTGTAGGGATTTCCTCAATCTGCTAAAAATGGAGCTTTCATGAGACTTTCTGCCCCTAACAAAGCTGGGGACTGACACCCTTCTCTGGTTGTTTCACTGCTGTGCAGACAAACCTTCCGCTGGGAGTGAGGCTTTAGGCCTTACTCCAGCACTTCAGGCCTCCCTGGTGAGTTGGAGCCCTTCCAAGGTACAGATAGCATTGAAAACAGCACCTCTTTGATGGGGCAAATACCCCATCTGCATTCCAATAGCAGTCCAGAAATGGGTTGCCTCTGTGATAAAATTTGTTCCCATTTCACAACCCTAAAACCTTCTGACTGGTTTGCTGCTCACTCTGCTAGTGAACCTGGCATTCAGCGGTTGGCCCCAAAGGACTGAACATGTTACCTAGGTCCCAGCTAGACTCCTGCACAATAATTAAAACTAAATGCTGTCCCTATATTCCTGACTACCTTGCAATGTTATGTCTGTTAAGAGACACAGGGCTCCGTCCCAGCCATGATCAGTGCCAGGCCCCCTTTTAGACAACTGGTTAAGCTCTTGGGGGGAAAAGATTTGGGACTTGATAAATAGCTGTTCATTGTATTATGCCTCATCCGTAAAATAGAAGTTTCTCTGTTGCAGAATTGACTGAGTCTATAATCTCTATACAGGAATCCCCTCAGTACATAATTTCTGAAGCCTCTATTGATGTGGCTCTCTGGCCCTGCTACCTGAAATACCTTTTCAAAGGAGAACAAAAAGGGATTGTTGACCCCCTGGCCTAAGCTGCAGCCCTCCACAGAGTAAGTGAGGGGCAATGCAGCCCCTAAACTGTGCATTGTTACACAGATTATTCTACCTTTAATATTAACTCTTGCCTCTTCTTCACCAATGCCTTGAAAAATTCTTGCCTCAATGCCTTGAAAAATTCTCCCATAAGCCTCCCAACAGTTATCTACTTATTACCATCTAGGAAAACAGCCTCTCCCCTGGGGAAGAATATGCAATGAGGGGCTCTCAGGATGTTGACCTCCCAGGACCCTTACTGCTATATTTCTAATTCTTGTATTTGCACTTTGCCTACTTCATCTCATTGTCAAATTTTTTTCTCTTGCCTAGGGACCCTCAAGCTCCAGCTCCTCCTCCACGAGAAACAGCCAGCCCAGAGGCCCCACCCCTTGGATTCCCCATGTGCCTCCTCCCACAACCAGCAGCACAAGTTAGCACAGGGACTAGTGTTAGGGAGACCATATCCCAGGCCCTTGAGGTAGGGACAGCTCTACGTCCTGCTCCAGCAGGAAGACATTACAGAAGATGGACCTTCCCCCTTCAACTCCCCAAGAGATTTTGGGCCCATATGGGATATGGTCCGTGTGGTCGGGTGGGAACCATGAAGCTAAGAGTAGAAAATTTAGGATGGGGGTGTCACAAGACCGGAAACTAGAGGTGAGCGTAGAAATAACTAATAGTTGTTAAGATAGTTCTAGGGTTTGGGGCTGGGAGGGTTTGGGGAGGGTGGGGAGAGTTCAGGAAGGGGAGGGATGGGGAGGAGGAATATGGAGAGGATGGAGGGAAAGGGGTGAGTAGGGAGGTTTGGGGTATGGTTGTAGGAGGGGGAGTAGGGTCTTGGGAGGGGAGGTGGGTGGAGGGGGTGAAGGGGAGGGGAGGATTCGTGGAGGGGAGAAGGACAGGGTTTTGGGAGGGTCTAGGAAGTGAGGGGAGGAGGGGGGAGGGTGGGTTTGAAGGGGAGAAGGGGAGGGGAGAAGTGGAGTGGGGAAGGTCTGGGGAGGGAAGTGTTATGGGAGGGGTGAAGGGTGGGGGAAAGGGAGGGCTGGGAGGGGAAAGGGGGAGAGTAGGATTATAGGAGGGGGAGGACAGTGGGGAGGGGAGAGGGACTAGGGATGGAGGGGTTTGTGGAGGGGAGAAGGGGGAAGGGGATGGTTAGGATCTGGGAGGTGAGAGGGAGGGGGGTTTGGGAGGGCTGGGAGGAGGAGAGGGGTTGAGGGAAAAGGGAGAGGTATGGGGCAGGAAGAGGGTGGAGGAAGGAGGATGGGGAGGGGAGGAGGGGGTGAAGGGAGGTGGGAGGGGAGGGTAGTGGGGGGAGAAGGGGGGCAGGGATGTTTGGGTGAGGGGGAGGAGAGGGTGGGATAGAGGAGGGGAGGGGAAGGTTGGGGGATGGGAGAGTTGGGGGGGTGGAGGAGGAGAGGGGTTGGGGGAAAGGGAGGGGAACAGGGTGAGGAGGGGAACGGTTGGGGTTGGGAGGGCTTGGAGGGGGGAAGGGGGAAGAGAATGGGGGAGGGGACAGGAGGGCACTTGGGGAGGAGCGGAGTGGGGATGGAGGGGAGAGCTGGGGGGTGTAGGTGAGAAGGGGGAGGGTTGGGGGAAATTGGAGGGGAATGGGGCGGGGAGAGGGAGTGAGGGGCATGGAGGGGGGAGGGGTTTGGTGAAAAGGGGGGGATTGGGCGGGGACAGGGAGGAGGGCTGAGGGAAGGGTGAAGGGGAGAAGTGGGAGGGGCATGGGTGGGGAGGGGTGAGGGTCTGGTGGGAAAAGGGTGGCAGGAGTGGGAGGGGCATGTGTGGGGATGGGAGTGGGTGGGCCTGGGGAGGTCAGGGAGGGGGTGGAGGGAGGGGATGTTGAGGGAAGGGAGGATAGGGGTGGGGATGGAGGGGAGGGTTGGGGTGTGGGTGAGGTGGGGGGAGGAGAAAGGGGATGGGTGGGAAGGGGGTTGGGGGCAATTGGAGGGGCAGGGAGCGGGAGTGGGGAGAAAGGGAGGCGTGGGAGGGACATGGTTGGGGATGGGAGTGTGGGGAGTCTTGGGAAGGGCTGGGTGAGGGGAGAGGGACAGTCGGGTGACTGGGAAGGCTGGGAGTAGGGGAGGAGGAGAGGGGGATGGTTGGGGAATGGTGGGGAGGGAGAGGGGAGAGGGATGGGGAGAAAGGGAGGAGAGGGTGGTGGAGGGAGGGGGTGGAAGGGGAGTAGTGGGGATGGAGGGAAGCACTGGGGTGTGGGTGAAGTAGGGGAGGAGAGGGGCATGGGAGGAGGGGAAGGAGTTGGGGGAAATTGAGGGTAATGGGCAGGGAGAGGGTGGAAGGGAGTGGGAAGGAGTGGGGGTGGTAGGGGATGGGGGTGTGGGGGAGGGCTTGAGGAGGGTTGGGAGAGGGGTATTTGGGGACAGGGAGGGCTGGGGGTAGGTTGGGAAAAGGGAGGGGAATGGGGCGGGACAGGGAGGAGAGGAGACCGGACAGTTGAAGGGGAGGAGTGGGAGGGGAGCGCATGGGGTTTGGGGAGGGTTGGGAGGAGGGGGATAGTGAGGGGGAAGGAGGAATGGTGCTGGAGGGGAGGGTGGTTGGGGTTAGGCAGGGGGGGGTGGAGAGGGAATGGGTGGGTAGGGGAGAGACTGGGGGAAGTGGAGGGTGGAGGGGAGGGCATGGCAGAAAGGGAGGCATGGGATGGGCATGTTTGGGGTAGGAGTGTGGGGAAGGGCTTGGAAGGTTTTGGTAGAGGGGGAGGAGGGATAGTTGGGGGACAGGGTGGGAGGCTGGGGAGGGGCAAGGGCTTGGGGAGGGTTGAAGGGGATGGGTGGGTGGGGAGGGTGGAGGGG